TGGAGGGTTGCGAGAACGAAGACGGCAGTCTTTCCGAGACCGGACTTGGCCTGGCAGAGGACATCGTTTCCTAGGATGGCCTGTGGAATGGTAACTTGCTGGACTGTAGGGCACACGTTATGTCAGAATGGTCTTTAAAACGGTCGAAACGAAGCGTGGGAAGCGAAGCGTCCGTCCATCTTGTGTAGCCGAGGTTTTCCATCTAGCGCGCGTGCCAGTCTGTCTATCCTCCCCATACGCTCAATGGTGTACCTCCTCCTATACACCCGCAACATGCACTCCTCCTCTGAAACCAGTCCTTCGGGACCACGGTAGTGAGCCAATAGGCACCACTGGCTTCTCGATGCATATACCGGTGCGCCTGCGAAATGCAGTGCGCGTCGACGCTCGTGGGTAGCGGAAGGCACTCGGTCCCTCGCCACTTTGCTCGAATATAGACAGACCAGGCCGCATTACAGATAGTGCTCGTTTCGTAGATGGACAGACGCTTGTAGGTGGATAAGGCTGAGGGGAATTATTAGACTAACCCTCGGAAGGATGTTCGAAGCCACAGTCCGTGATTGCTCGTACGAGCTCGTCCTTGAGCAAGAAGTCGCGGAAACCGGTCGAGTGGATGCCGACGTAGCTGCCCTTCTTGTCGCCTGCAGCATCACCGGCGGTGACGCCGCCCTTGCTTGCAGCTGCGCTGCCGTTGGCGGGCGCATCAGTCGTCTGGATCTCCTCGTCGGAGTAGTCGATGAGATCTTCCTCGTGAGACATGATGGATTATGTGTCCGTGTAAGAGTGTGTGTGGTGTGTAGAGTCGGTGATTGCGCGTGTCGCAAGCAAGGCTGCCAAACAAAGTGGAGTCGCGACGGTACCGAGGCGAGGTATTATACTAAGAGCTACGAGTAGAAGAGATCAGCAGTTGTTTCGCGATTTCACGTAACGCGAATTCGACGAGGTTGCTGTGGCTTGAGAGGTTCGTGGTGGGCGGTGGACAAGAGCGGTCGCCGCGCTGATGTCGAGGTAAAAAGCTCGGGGCGCCTTGCTGGGCGCGCGCTAGGCCGCAAGCGGACTGCTCTGAATCACGACCCACCACTGCAAATCCTCTGACCTTCTATCATCTATCTGTGAAACCGTAATTTACGTAGCAGGCCAGACGACAATACAGCGGCGCATCATGAGCAAGGTCAAAGCACCAAAGACGAAGGGCATTCCGAACAAGCATCTGCACGCCCGCTCGACTTTTCTCTACCAAGCAGCCACATATCTGACGCTGCAAACGGCTACGCAAGAGGACGTCGCAGCTTGTGTCGCACGAGACAAAGATGATCGATCGATCGAGACCCAGCGACCTTCGCCGTTGGCACTCGAACTCGGATCCGATCTTCAACAGGTATCACGGAAAGGCCAGCTACGGCTGGCTGTCGACTTGAAGCGCTCCATTTGCAAAAGTTGTAATACAGTCCTTGTTCCTGGACGCACTCTTACTCAAAATATTGAAAATCCCAGCAAAGGCGGTAAGAAGCCTTGGGCAGATGTACTCGTCATCACTTGTCTCATTTGTGGCGGAAAGAAGCGGTTTCCAGTGGGCGCAACGAAACAACTCAAGAAGGCCAAGAGGATCACAACGCATACAAGTTTGTTGTCAAAAACTGCTTCGGAAGATGGCCAATGCTCAGAAACTACCTTTGCGACGGGTATTGACTGACTTGACGTCACGTTGTGGTTTATTCCACTCATTTGCTACGTGCCACGCCGGAATCGCTCAATCGAGGAACCCATGAAGGCCTCCGGAACTCTCGAATCGATTCACCAGGGGAAATCCGAAAGCTGCTATGGCTCAGACTGCTCAGATCAAAGTGAAATACACAGGAGCATTTGCCGCCTCTCAACTATGCTCGCTCCACGCACGTCCAGTTACGCCACGAGAGGATCTAAAGTTTCGCCTGGACAACTTCTCCAGTCAAAAAGCCGAGCGAAAACATCGCATGAGAACAACTTGATCTTCACCAACCGTTCTCCTCAACGTAAACGGTCATGGATAGTCAAGCTCCCAAGGAAAGCATCTCGCCTCTCCAGTCTCTGCCACAAGAGATCCTGTCAAGCGTCTGCAGTTACCTACCGCAAGGGGCTCTCTACCAACTAACCCTCGTCAACAAAAATATCGGTCAGCGCGTAGTACCAGCCCTGTACAGTTCCTTCAGCCAAAATGGAGGCGACAGCATGCAAGTTCGACAGTACTTCAGAACCGCGGTGCGGGAGCCTGAGTTGGCTGAGCATCTTCGCGAGGTTACTATTCAGGGCTCTATCGGGATAACCCACAAGCAAATGCGGAAATGCCTCCAGAAATTGGACAAAGATACCTGGGCTCGTCGGCTTCACGAACAACACCCCCGTCTCGCTTACGATTACTTTTCGTATGGACCGGACTTGGCCATTGCTCTGTTACTGAGCTTGGAACCCAAGATACACTCTATTCGTGCTCTGCATCCTCCGAACCCCATAAAGAAAGGGAACTCATTTAAACTCCCCATCTATCTCGAACCCATTCGAGGCATTCTAGCAGCAGGCTCTCCACTGCCGCAATGGACCAATTATTTATCCACGTTAGAGATCACCCTTCGGACCACATCATGGCAGTGTATTGCCCCGCTGTTCCAGCTACCGGTACTCAAGACGCTGATTCTAAGTGGTGGAGGTGGATTCCACATGGCTACTGAGGATATGGAAGCTGCGATTCATTCATCACCGATCGAAGTACTTGACTTTGAAAAGTGCGCGGTCCCATTGACGACCATTGCACAAGCTGTATCTGCTTGCAAGTCACTGCGTGTCCTACGACATAGCGACTGCGACCATTGGGCAGCACCTCATCATTTGCATTTACTCCAGCAGTTACATGAGCATGCGAGCACTCTGCGCACCCTCAAGACGTGCTGCTGGCATGCCCCCAAGAGCACTTCGACTGACAATGGGATCTTGGCCAGCTTCATTGCTCTGATCGAGCTCGAAGTGCACTACTCTCATGCCGCGGATGATCTCCTGCCACCAAACCTCTGTCGGCTCGTCATATGCGCAACTACCCGCGACCGAGTATGCATCATGGAAGACATGGAAACACTAGCGCAAAAGCTCAGCAAGCGATCAAACATCGACGTAACACTGAAGTATCGGCACTACAGGAAGCCAAACTACGAGCTTCCAAAACTACGCGAACTGCCATCCGTGTTCGCCAAGTCTGATCTTAACCTGTCGCTTTACGTGTATCCTGTTGTCGGCTCATCATGTAAGTTGCCCGCAGTAACGTTCCTTTAGAACGAGCTAACAGTCAGAATAGGGTACTTGATCGCCAAGTTCGATCACCGCGCTGCATGGTTGTCGCAGAGACCTAGCGAAACAGGCGCAAAAGAGTTGAGAGCTTGGTCGAAGCGATTAGATTCGACGTACGATTACCGGGAGATTGTGCTCGCGGAGATCAAAAATATGGTCGGAAAGCACGAGAACCATTGGAAGAGCAAGGACTACGATCTCGACTTCATGCTACCGTATCTGTTTAGAAATCTGTACAAGGTCTGAGGAGAGTAGTCAGTTGACACGAAGATGCGAGAGGAAGGATGTATCTGTCACGAATGGGAAGGTGGATTGGAAGAGTAACGAACGGTAGCTCTTTCTCCAAAATGGACCTCGCTTCAAACACATCACCGGCGCTATCTCTACGGTCATCCTCCTGGTTACCTCCACCACCTGCTACTCACCAATTATTCCCAACTGCTCGTGAAAATTCTAATACCGACTCACAAAACCCGCATCGCCTTGACCTACCAACCTTCCACCCCCAAACCCAGGTTTTCTACATCTCGACCACAGCACTCTCTCATACCGAAGACCATGGCATCGAACAACTCCTGTAACGGCGACGACGTCAACCCCCCAGCTTACTCCAGACTTCACGAGGACCATCACACCGACGGAAGCGCCCGCAAGAACAGCAAAATGAAGAGTGCGATCGAGCTCTGCATCCTCATTCCCGTCTTAGCCATCGTAGTTCCACCCGCGATAGTGCTCAACGTGGGACGATTAGTCGTAGGTGAGTAAACGACCATATTGCACCTTTTGTTACGACCCTGTTGCTGACTTAGTACCTAGAATCGCTTGTAGAAGTTAAGTGGTCAGTCAAAGACCGGAACTATACGCAAAGGGAGCAAATGGCTCGAAGGACGCTAAGGATGGATGCTCGGCAAGCGACAAGATGAAGCTGGTACTTGAGTGAGCAGGGGAGAGATGGTGGACTGGTTGTAGTCTTGATTCGGCATCCTCTGGCCATGCTATGTCTCATTAGTGTCCCTCGATACGGCGATACATCCCTTTGACGAAACGAGCCCTAGGATCAGAATGGAGATAAACATCGGTATTGCTTTGTACCTAGACTGCAATCAAGACGCTTAATTGTGCAAGTAAAGTCTATTCTACAATTATCGCAAGAGCATTGTGCTGTATTCTCCATTCGGTTCCCCTTCACCACTCACCACTCATATCTCACTGATCGCAAGTACTCCAGCACTGTATCACAAATCGCCCATCGTCTTACCCTACCAACTTCCCGTCACAAACGCAAAGACTTCGCAGTCCATCTAAAACACCTTCCCAAAACACCAACTTTGGTCTTCGACAAATCCTGGCATGACCACAACTTCTCATCCTCAACTGACTTCCACTCCCACGAGAAACAGTACACCAACAAGAACTTCCGCAGAGCTATCAGCACGATGGTTGCGTTCAATATGTGCACACTCCTTCTGTGCCCGGTGGGATTCTGTGTGGAAGGCGTGACTAAAGGTGAGTTAGATACCGTCGGGCCTATTAACTCGCCCTCTCCTGCTGACATTCCATCCAGGTTCCCTTGCAGCAGCATGGCAGTCGACGATAGGAAACGTGCTTGTAGGAAGTGTTTTCTCTTTCCTCCAGAGCGCTGGAGCCGGTGGACAGCAAGTCTTCAAATAGTTCGTCTGAACGCCATGACGGATCCATACAAGCTGGCCGAAGAAAATATAAAATGGCCAGTCCAGAAGCGGTCTTCGTCAGTCTCGACGCTCATACTCTACGGCGTCGACATCCCGTGTACATGGACGAAGCTCATGATCACTTCCTGCAAACAGCTCTCAAGATTTGAGTATGCCGGTCCGAAGTATCACGGGTCAACATATATTCTACCGAACATCATGTCTGGTCTTGAGCAGCAGCAAGACTCGCTGCGGGTTCTGCACCTTGCTCCAGAAGATGATGATTGCTGGGATGAGCCTGATTCGACCCACGCGCGCATCGATGGTTTCCACCGATTACATGCCCTGGAAAACCTCTCTACATCATTTCGAGTACTGCTTGGTACACCGCCTATGAACTATACCGGCGAAGGAAACTGGAAATACCCTCGGATGCGGGATATACTTCCCCATAGCCTACAAGAGTTGTTTCTGTCTACAACGGCTACGATGGTATCCCACAACTACCGTGATGGATATTATGATCTCTTCAACAGCGCTCTTCCCCTACAAGCAAATGGTCTATACTTGAAGAAGATCCGCGTAGCATACTCAGACATGATCACAGGCGCTCATTCGTTGCCCTTCAATTTCTGGGACATCAAGAACTCATACGTTGCACACGGAGTGGAGTTTGACTACTCTATATCCATCAGCGCAGATCGAGATGGTACGTGAGCCTTCAATTCAGCCCTTCCCGTTCATCCATTTACCGCAAATGCTATTAGCAAAAGTTCGGGTCTCGGCATTACCTTGTGTCAACGTTTGTCACTTCCTTGACTACATATCACTAACGCTTTTACATAGAGCCGGGACTATCTCTTACAGATGCGCACATTAACGATATGGTTTCCATGCTCAAGAGTTACGGGCCGAAGGCAGTCGAAATGGCTCATCACTTCACTTGTTTCGGAAGCCAAATAGTGCAGAAAGTACTGTCTGAACTAGGCTATTCCGAAGACTGGATAAGCAGCGAGGAAGGCCGGAAGTATATGTTCGTATCGTGAGCTATTTATAAGCTTAGCATCACTAGCAAGACCCTGGTTCTTCGATTTCCTTCATCCTGCTGAGTAAGACCGATGCTTGTTGGGGTAGACAAAAAGCTTAAGTTTTGCTTATTGAACGGGACCATCGCACCGAGCCGGGCGTCTCCGTTCTGTAACGTAGCATCGTATGCCTGGAGATCTCCCGTGTCAGACATATTCTTGGGTGAAGCAACGACCTATATCCCCGTTCCTTCCTTCCAATACACCAAAACTCAAACTATGACGTCGCAACTACTACATCCACACTTCGTCTCACTAACGGAATCCCGCTCCGAAAAACACAATCCCATCTGCAAGCGAAAACCCTCATCGCAGCCCAACCCCACGCAGCGCCACAATGCCCTCAGGTACATGACACCTGTACCTCCTCCACCACCAGAACCCACAATCTCGTTCTTTTTCCCCCATCGACGATGAAAGGGCGCATCGCATGTGATGTATTATACAATGTTCTAGTGTGTTTCCACGCACAGCCCACCCCAATTTAATATATATTGCGAGCATACTCCAATAGCGCCGTTTTCGCGGATCAGGTACCTATATCAGCCGGTTGTTATTACCACGTGAGGGAATGCGCATCTTGGCGATCGGACGGTATGGACTATGTGGGGCCAAGACTACCGTGCGCCGTGTATGTGGTAGTGTGTGTGGGATGTAGTGGGTAGGTAGTACTTGCGAAGATGATGGGTGCGATGGTGGGATCTGGACCTTGGGGGCGGCTGGTGAGCCGGCTGTGTGGTAGGTGGTCGGTATCGTTATCTGAGACTTGTATTACCACCGAGATATGGGATTTCGTTTTGCTGACTGTGTTATTGGATTACGTTGATGTCACATGCAAAATTGGTCCAAGGTGGAGGTTGATGTGATGATGCTGTTGTCTTTTTTTGCTATTTTGCTTCCATTGCAACTAACTTGAAAGTGAATCAAGAAATGCCCTTCGTCTACCCAATGCACCTCTAAAGAAAGTCCAAAAACTCCATCCGCAAGATGCGCAATGCCGCTATATTCCTCAACATCCTGTTGCTTATATCTCTGACCTCTGTTGAACCGACCCGTCTCCGTCTAAGATTGAGCCCGTGTCGAAACTCTAAAAGTCCCAAAGTGTACCGAAAGCGTGCATACCCTCCTTGGCACACCCCTGCATCATCTCATCGTTGCCCTGGCTGTTGCTCGTAATGAAGATGACCTCAGCGCCGAATCGCTTCCACGTATCTCTCAACAACTCCATTGTGTCCGGGCGGCCACCCCGCTTCTTGCTATCCCAGAGTATCATGCGCTCGGGCTCGATGTGCTTGTGGATGAGACCTGTGACGGTGGGGCCGAATGTGCGCTCTTGGTCAGAGCCGATCCAGATGAGGAACCAGTTGGGAGATTGGATGCAGGTGGAGAGGGCGGCGCCGATGCCAGTACCGGTGCAGATACGTATGCCGCGTTTGAACATCGCAGAGGCGTGGCCGACGCCGGCTGTGATTGTGTTAGCAATGGAGATGCAAATGGAGTTATGCAAGAACATACCGAACTTGAGCTGTCTTGTCCACACAGTCTTTGGTGGATTGGCGACAAGGTTCTTGGTGAAGTCTCCTTGAACACCACAGATCATGTAGTGATGGGTAGCATTGCGTCCCTCGCTGATGATGCCGAAAGCGTGGTACTCCATGATGGACGTGCGACTGATTCGTCCTAGAAGACCTTGCTGCATGCCGCGCTCGAACTTGAGAACAGCGACTTTTGGTGAGGGGATCTCGACTTCGACTGGCACCTCTCGGAGGGTGACCCATGGGATGAGGATGCTGTAACTGGTCAGTAGGAGAAGCTGATAGAGGTATGGGCGCTCTTACAATACTGTCATGAAGACAGCGAACCATAGCTCTTGTGCACTGAGTAAGCTGTGGGCGTCGGTCCTCCACTCGCCACGCTTGATGTCGTAGGTGTTGCCCATGACCACGAAAACCCATGTCATCTAGCGAGCGTTAGTATCAGTTCTCGGAAGAACGCAATCGGGATGCATACTGCGAGGCCTAGCCATCCAACAAATCGGTGATGCTTCTCGAAAACATTGTGATAGGTGCTGACCAGGGCGTAAGCATGGTGTCACAGAGTTACACGTCCGCTGGGACTACTCACTTGCGGACCCAAGGGAAGGCGCTCAGAACCGAGATGATGATGAAGACGTTGGTGATGATACCGCTAGCGATCACAGCAGGGTGCTGTACGGCACGATATCTGATGATGTCGACGCACTTGTAGATGAGCCAACTGGGCTTTCTGTTAGTACTATTTGCAATGGATGTATGCAGGTCTACTTACGCAGCCCCAGACAATGCGCATCCAGAATGTATTCCCCCGACGTGCTGCAGGACAGATGTTGCAGCTAGCTTTACGCACACTGGTGCCCACTACGATGACTGGTCAGAAAGACTTGTGATAGAGACAGGGGAAGTACATACACCTAGTCCGTATATGGCGGCCATGTATAAGAAGCGCATCCATAACTCGTTTCTGAACAAGATGGCGGAGAGTAGGTTGCCCAGTACCAAAGCACCGAGGTGTTCCTCGCCATATTTGAAGCGACCACATGCCGTCAAGATGATCCCCGTGAGGTTGAGTGAGACGACGAATACGAAGAACTTCCTGTATGTATTGAACCAGAGGTCAAAAAGGATCCACCGGCTGATCTTTGGCTTTTGAGGTTTGGCTCCTGCCGGTTTCTTCACGGTAGTGTCCAGTGCAGCAGCATCGGTAGGTTTCCGTCCCTTTGGCAGTGAGAGTGAGAGCTCCGGTACGCTTGTGCATGGTGTTATGCCTTGGTGGACAGGGGAAGCAGGAAGCAATGACGAAACAGTATATGTCGACCTCTTCGGTTCCATATACACAAAGCCGGGTGCGGTCAACTCCAGTGTACTATCGTACATGCCCTTCTCTGCATCATCGAGCGAATCATCGCTACGATGGCTAGTAAGAGGGCTCTTCGGTGTGAGTGACATATTGCTGGTACGCGGGAACGAGACCAGGGTCCGAGGAGACAGGCGGGAGGACGATAACCTTGGAAGGCAAGGGCAACTGACAGGTGACGTTGGCCAAATTGGTAACAACGCAGGAGCGTTCGAGTGAACAAAGATTGGTAATGAGCACAGGCTAGACTGGGTGCTCTCAAGAAGTACTTATTGGGGAAGCAGCCATGAGGCGCACTGTCGTGTCATCTGGATCATCAAACCTTGCGGCGACACCATCCACAATTCATCTCTGGAGTATACGGTACCAATGTCCGTAAGCATCACAGTCAGACGAGCCCGATGATGGCACATTGTCCCAGACCAGCTTCCGTCGATCCCGGATAGATAGCTACCCAGCTGAACCAGTTGGCGGTCGGCGCCTCCACTCCGTGCTCAGCTCGTGAGGGATTCCCCGTGGGGAGGGCAAGGAAACCCGGGACGGCCTATGTCGGTAGTTTCTGCTCAACGTTGGGTTAGGAAGACAACCCCACAGCCTCGATATCGATCCGGAGACTTCTCTAGGCCGTGACGACGTCGTCATAACGCATCCGATATTACGGTCGTACAGATATGTCGGCAGGCTAGGATCACGCGACGAAGGTGGAATATTGCAAGAATATACTAGGGGGTCAATGCGGTGGCTTCGGTGTGACGGCTGGAAGTAACTTTTGGTGAAAAAGACAGGGATATAGAAAGCAGTAATAAGGCGGAAGCGCACGTTCCCGATTTCGGGACGTCCTTCAACCGCGTCTAGTTGCATTAGCGACGACGCGATAACGCGATAGTCAGCCATGCCGAGGCGCGCCCATCGCGAAGTCACTCAATCTAGCTAATCTTGATTTCTAGTTCTTCACGTACAGATCGACGTACTCGTCGATGTCCATGTTATCGAGCGACTTGGGGTCCTGCGCTAACGCGACGAGCTTGTCAACGTGTTGCGACGGGTAGTGCGGGCCGAGATGCCTCTTGAACTTGGCAAGAATCTCGGGCTTTGCTTCCTCACGACGCAACCGATGGCCAAGCGGAGCCTCGACAACCTCTTCCTCCAGCACGGTTCCGTCCTTGAGCGTTACGGTCAAGGCGTTGGAGATGGTGCGCTTCGCAGGGTCGTGGTAATCCTTGGTGAATTGCGGGTCCTCTACACAGCTAATGCGCTGGCGGAGAGACTCGACGAGTTCCGATGTAGCAGCTTCGCTGTCATCTGGGTAGTCAGTGGCTTCAAGGCGGTTGAAGACAAACATGGTGGAGACCATGTACTACCATCATGTCAGCACAGCCGGCGAACCACGAAGGGTAAGACTTACTTGAACGCAGTGATCACGGTCAGCAAAGTTCTCCATAGGCTTGAACTGCTTATCGATGATACGAATGCAGGCCTCATGCGTTCGGTTCACTACACCCTCAATGTCTTTGGCGCTCTTACCCATCGCTGCCAGCTTCTTGTTCAGGCGCTGTGCCGCTTCGACCGCAGTCTGTGAGTGGAACTCAGCTGGACGAAATTAGTAAATGGCTCCCGAGTAGCATTGACCTGAAAGAGTCGTCTTACCCGGATAAGAGACCTTGAAGAGAACGTTCTCCATGACGTAGCTGCCGTAGCCTCTCTGGAACTGGAAGGGCTTGCCGCCAAAGTTGACGTCGTAGAAGCCCCAGGTAGGAGCTGAGAGAACAGTAGGCAGACCCTGCTCGCCCTTCATGACCTTCAGCACGAGGTTGACGGCGGTCTGGCAAGCATCACCAGCGGCCCAGGACTTGCGCGACATGGTGTTGGGCGAGTGCCTGTAAGTACGCATAGACTGGCCATCGACAAACGCTTGCGAGATGGCATCCCGAGTCTGAGCCTCGCTGAGACCCATCATCTTGGAGACGACAGCTGTGGAGGCCAACTTGACCAGAATGACGTGGTCCAGGCCGACCTTGTTGAAGGAGTTCTCCAGGGCCATGCAGCCCTGGATTTCGTGTGCCCTGATC